CCACATGTGCTGCTGTTCCCGACCTACGCGGCGGAGGTGGAGCTCCTAGGGTGGCGGGAGGTTGAGGCGGAGCGGGCAGCCGACAGCGAAGACGGAGCTCCTGGGGCAATGGGCGGTGGAGGCGGAGGCAGAGCGGGCGGCCGGTGGGCGATTGAGGTGGGGACAAAGGCGGAGCAGGCGGCTGAGGTAGAGGCGGAGGCGGAGCTCCTCGGGCGGCGGATACGGAGGCAGAGCGGGCGGCTGAGGTGGAGGCGGAGCAGCGGCCGACAGCGGAGGCTGAGCTCCCCGTGCGGCAGGCGGTAGGCAATTGAGGCTGAGGCGGAGGCGGAGCGGGCGGCCAGTGGTGGAGGCGGAGCTTCTTAGGCAGCGGGTGAAGGTCGGGCGCGCGTGCATGGACGCCTACGCGCTTCGCGTTGCCGCCACTGACGATGACCGACGCGCCGCACTTCGGGCACTCGGGTGGTATCTGACCGTAGCCGTGGCGGCGGTGGCGACGGCGCGGGAGAGACCTCCGCCGCCGCGCCGCCGCCTCTACATCCCGCTCCGCAGCCTGCTTCCACCCACCGCCCGCCTGTTGCCGTGCGCGAGAGAGAGAGTAAGAGTGAGAGAGAGAGGAAGAGGAGAAAGAGGAGGTAAGAGTGAGTGTCAGGTGGGCCCCACCATTTAAAAAATGTAAATGTTGATTAGATTGCCTCGCGTACGCCACGTAGGATAAAACCGCTCTGGATTGGGTCGAGGGGGTAATTTGTCCGGTATTGAATGTTCAGGGTGAACGATATCTGGTTTTTGAATTTAGGGGGTAATTCGGTTGACTGCAATAGTTCAGGGGGTAATTCATACTTTTTCCTATTTCTTAACGACATTACTAAAAATATAATTCCCAGCAATGGCGCTCGAAATATTACTCGGTATTCTTTACGGTTACAGATATAATCCGCAAGCACACGAATATAACGCTATAGCATTTCACCCGGAAGTATTTCCAAGGTATCGTATTTATTTAATCCTAAGGAAAGATATGATAAGAGAGTATTATGCTAAAATTTTACATTACTTATGTAGATCAAAGTCTAATGCATGGGTTAATCGATTCAAGGGTAGGATAGGTTGACACATAGAAGTAACTAACTTGAATACTCTCATTAAAATAATAATCTATGCTAAGTGGAGAAAGAATAAGAAAACCATCATTTTTGTACTTCTAGTATATAGTCATTTTAGTCTACAGTTGCTATTGTACAATTATGCAGCCAATACCTCCTAACTATACCCTCCTGGTATATTGAGAAACTACCCCTGATTGCCGAGTTCCTTACGACAATCCGTCATGGCCATCCAACCGGTAATAGATACGGAGAAGTACCCACACTAGGAAAATCTCTTAGCCCTATATACGCACATGGAGGAATACCTGTACTAAGTTGTCACCATCAGCGGCCTAATGTCTACAAATCCATGGCATATAGCACCATTTAATGGTATCTAATAATCTAAGCACCGCGTTTATATGATTAAATACTACCCTACATCTCTGCAGATGACAGAGCAATCAAATAATCAAACACTAACCAATACCATTGCATATCTCCAGTTTGCTAGCTACATAATTATTTCGAGACAAGTATGAACTAAAGTTGGCAATCAAATAATTATATAATTGAAGTAAAGGACCAAAACTATATAAAGAAGAATACTTTATTATTGAATTAAGTCTTACAAGAGAGAGAAAAGCTACTAGAGCCATACCCGAATTCTGCATAAGACTTGAAGAACTAAGAAACTATTCTAATTCTACTCCACTAGAACTAGAACAAAGTAAATAACTAGAGAGCTTCTTGCTTGATCCTCCTTGCCGTGTGTTGAAATGTAGAGGGAGATGTCCTTAAATAGCCTTCTAATAATGGTTGTGGCAATCGGAATTGTCGGAAACACCCTTTCACCATCATTGAGAAAGCAATCCTGCACGTCCACGTGGAAGCCCAGGATCAGGGTGCTCTATGGCGGTTCAGCCGAACCCCCTGTTCGGCCACACCCTGGGTCCCACCTCCTAGCCGCACCTTTGGCTAGGAGACTGACTGGTGGGCCCTTATGGTGGTTAGCACGATTATGACCCATTTAAGACGGTTTCACCTGACTTGTCAGCCCTCCAATCCTTGTATTCGCATCTGATTGGCCAGAGTTGTGTCTTTGACTGTTATTTTCCATTATTCCTCCTTCGATTATGTGAAGTTCTCTCGTAAACAAATATTTTGCCAAGTAGAAGTGGAAATAAATTATTTTTAAACAAATATGTACTAGTTCTCCTTTATTTCCGAATGTATTAACGGTCCAAATTGGTCTATAATGACCATCAACATCCTGGGGGTTCACGGGTTTGAACCAAACTGTGAACACCCTAAATTTGGACCATAATAGGTGAGGTTAGATAAAATCTACTCAAAATAAAATATTAATGGTACAGTGGTACACACACTTTATACCACAACTACAAAACCCCTAATACCACAACTACAAAACCTCTAATAAGGAACGGTTTTAGATGTGTCGGTTCATCTAAAATTAATCGACACATACAAGGTTTTTTTTTCCTCCTGATCCCTTAAGCGGGTTTAAAATTTAAAACTGGTACCGATAATATCTTATAGGTGCCGATTTATTAAAAAACCAACACCTATAATAAGAGTGTCGGTTTTTTAAATAAACCGGCATCTATACTTGAGATAAAAGTGCCATTTCAGTAAAACTAACACTTTTAGTGGGAACTGAGCCAAGCCTATGGAGTGGGCATTCTTAAACTGGTACTCCCTCCGTTTCATATTATAATACTTTCTAGCATTGCCCACATTCATATAGATATTAATGAATCTAAACACATATATATGTCTAGATTCATTAACATCTATATGAATGTGGGCAATGCTAGAAAGTCTTGTAATAAAAAGCGGAGGAAGTAGCATCTATATCCCCTCCATCAGTCTATCCCCTATGCCCTCCATCTCCCATCTCTCTTCCTCTCTTGGAATGGCGTGGCGCGAAAAACACACACTGGCCTAGGAGATCTGCTTAGCTCTAGTGCAGGTTCAAATCTTGGTGAGGTGCGGGCGTGCTAGTCAGTTTGATCCTACAACTAACAAGATTTGTAAACAACAGATCAAACAACCGATCGGCTGTCAAGCCGATGGAGTAATTCCAGCCAATGCCAATTCCAACCGATAGCGATAGGGTTTTGAGCTATCGGCAATATGTCCAATGTAAATAATGATATAAAGGCAGTCGGCTAACGATGATGGAATATAACAGTAATATAATCCAGTAGAAACCAATCGGCTAACAATATGACATGATGATAGAACAAGTACTGATCCGATGGTTAAAGCATACATCGGCTGGAGGTCCGATGTCATAAAATCCTCAAGATTAGATAAAACAGTGAAACCTTTGTTGTCATTGGCTAAATCCAACTTATATGTATATGCAATCCTTATAAGCCGATGCTACGTCCAGATAACTTATCGGCTAGCACCCCGATAAAACACTAGCATGAACCTATCGGCTTAACAAGATTTATATTATCAACAACGTCGAACCTGACTGATGCAGCACGAGATTGTATATGATAATCTAATACTTAATGAGCCGATAGATCTATCTAATGTGATGGATATAACAAATCTATCTAGAACAACATTTGATTGTAGAGATATATCGGCTAAGATAGAAGATCAGACCTAAACGAGACAGTCCCAACTAAACCGATGCGTCTCTATACACAGTGCAATTAGAGATAGAATTAAGATATCAGGTAGGCAAATATATCAACCAAACCGGAGCAATCCAAGAGATCGAAGCAATGCAGCCTTGAACAACACCAACGTAGCCGATAGATTCACCAGGGCCGGCAGAACGTAGGATTTACCCCTTCGCCGGAGATCGAACTGAACCGATGCAGCCCCGTGTCAGGTGCCAAATTCCGCCGGATGATAAGTAAAAACCTCGGTAAAGAGAGTGGTGATGCGCCGAGAGTAGTTGTATTGATCCAGAAAGAGATTTTACAATGACCCCGGGTGTACATATTTATACCCATGGGGAGATACTAGTCCTTGTCGGACAAGAAAGAAACTTTTCTAAAGATAAAATGAAAACATGAAGTCCTTATTGGATACTAAACACACTTTCTTAAAGATAAAAGGAAACTAACAAACTATTCCTAATTAATAGATAACTTGCCATGTCGCATCCTACTTGAACTCGGACTCTTCTGAATAAATTTCCTTTAATTGATCCGACTCCACTAAGGACACAACTGCTGGTGATTTGGCAACTCCCATCGGTCGATTCCAAGACTCTGAAATCGATACTAATTCTAGGCCGATGATGACTTCGGGCCTACCAAATTTTGGCGTTAACACCGGCGCTACGACGCAACGGTGATGGCCTATTCCAATCCTCTCGTGGCACGATGGGGGCGGTGACAGCTTCCTCTTCCTCTCCCCAGCCCAGCGCGGTGGCCACCAAGTCTGACCAGGACGACGGTGAGTGCAGGTTACTTCACGGTAGAGAGTGGGGAACTTTTAATTGGAGTGATGGAATTATTCATCCCTGCCAAATTTTGTGAATGAATTTGTGTGGGGGATATTGTTGGATGGATTGAGGGCAGTATGTGGATGAATCATGCTTTTGGATGTGGGATAGTTTAGGGGTGATGGGAAGTTACTCGATGCATCGGCCCAAAACCTTTTTTTTTTCATTCATGGGATAAAAAGGTACCGATTTATGAACCGGCCCATCTGATTCCTCCTCATTAGTACCGTCTGAAGGGTCGTTGAGAAATCCGACATCTATATGGGGTTGGCAATCCCCAATCGTTACATATATTATGATTTCTGTAGTAGCGTACACACCTTATAGAGTGGTCACTAAAGTCACATATAATTTATGGTCCAACAACTCCATGAAGTTAAACACTGGCTATCTTCGTGGAAAAAAGAAGAGAGATAGCTGGAGAAGAAAATGAAATGGATAATAACAGCGTAACAATCCTTTGTACTATCAACTACTCCTATCTCGAAACAGTGTACTGATTAAGCAATGAACTAGAGCATTTAACTCCCCCAGCGCCACAGTCCAACAGATCAGCTAGCCAACGCCCGCGCCTAGGCATCACCGCATCACGCATGGGCGAGCACGCTACGTACGCCGCTGCTAGTGCTAAGTGCAAGGTAGCAGCTGGCTAGCTAGCAGCGGCGACGAGCCGTCGTTTGGGTGCGCGCGATAGACCAATCGATGGAGGGGGAGAAGACGACGATGACGAAGGTGGTGGCGCCGGTCGAGCGGGTGGTGTTCGAGCTGAACGGTGAGCGGCAGGAGGTAGCGGCGGCGGACGTGGAGCCGTCGACGACGCTGCTGGAGTTCATCCGCACCAGGACGCCATTCAGGGGGCCCAAGCTTGGCTGTGGAGAAGGTATACCCTATGTATATGTTATTATGTACTACATCATCTATCTTGGATGAAAACAGTCACGAAAATTTCCAATTGGTTGAGCATCGTGATTCCGTATAAGTGGTACCGTTTTAGTGCCGTATGTTTTAGATGCCACGAAATAGTTAACCCGACGAATATGATTAACTTTTGACCGACTGAAGAATCGTTTCCGTAGGGATATTACCGTTTCTAACCGTCTTCACAGTGACATATGCCTATTTGTTGCAAGCTGCATAACCAAGCAAACTAGTTCGATTGATCTCTTCAGCTCTTCTACGTGCTCGATCAAGCTAGCTAGTTCTACTTCTAAAATTTTTCACTTAAGTTTACTAACGGATACACGCAAGTCTTTTTATGCTAAAACTTTTACTGGTCGATCCTATTGTTCCATGTCTTCTATGTGGTTCTATTTATGATCCTACGAAAAGGATAAGCAATCAATACTATTGGTTTTCTTTTACTGCTAACTTGAAATATTATATATCGTTCAGGCATCAGGTGAGACATATCTCCTGAATTCCTGATGCCATCCTACATGCTTATTTGCTTCAATTTGTTAATTTGGCTGTAAATTTATTAACCCAAACTAACTGATTAATGATGTGTCATATTGAACATGTTAATTTGCAGCTAGAGATATGCAATACTATATGTTTACACGGAATAAATTAAAAAATAAGAGCTATTCTGATTTTTTTTGGCACTCTGTCTCAAACTGACGACCGACCATTTTAATACATATTTTTTGGTTGATAAAAAAGACTTTTGTTGCTCTGTGTGTTGTTTGGGAAAAAAGAAGATATACAGCACTATGTCACTATGCCTCATTAGTACCGGTTTGTAACAAGCATCAATGCTAGTTTTGAAAATGATACTGCTGAGGGTTAGCCCGAGACCTCTCCCTATCAAACCCAGGACCTCTCACCTGCGTACTCATTTATACATATTAATTCTACTAAAATATAAATATTTTTCTTTTTTATCTTACCAGTTTTAAATCATAGATTTAGACATTTAAATGACTTGAAATAAAAAATATTATCAACTAAAAAATTGATCTCATCGGCAGCTACAATTTTCGTATAAATTAAAGTTTGCGTCAAACTGATTTCATATGAAAGAGTTGTACAATATGGTTGGAATGATAAATACGGTTTGTACCTTGAATGACACTGATAACCCAACCGAAATTTATTCTGATTTCATATGAAAGAGTTGTACAATATGGTTGAAATGATAAATACGGTTTGTACCTTGAGTGACACTGATAACCCAACCGAAATTTATTCTGATTTCATATGAAAGAGTTGTACAATATGGTTGGAATGATAAATACGGTTTGTACCTTGAATGACACTGATAACCCAACCGAAATTTATTCTTGCCGTAAACATGTGACATCAGTGCTGCTTTCGAAGTTTTAAATTCTAATTAATTTAGGCCCTATTTGGCATAGCTCTGAATCAAAGATTTCTAGAGCTGGATATTCCTAACTTCATAAATCCATGATTGTGAATATGTTGATAATATATGGATGAATCATTTTATTCCTATTTTAGATGGAATATAAAGTTTTTAATATAATGTAATACACAAACTCTAAATCCCGTGAGTGTTTGCAATATGGGGCTGTGCCAAACATAGCCTCAAATAATTGAGAGTAGGTCTGAAGTATTTCTGTCGACGGGATGTACCCGACAACGGTATTTTAGTAGTATAGGGGATGTTGGTAACAGGGCATAAGCAAGATTGTGGTAAAGAGACGGGACATATAGATGTTGGTAAGAGGGTATAAGCGATATTTTGTAAAGAGACGGGAAGACAGCTATTTTATCTATGCTAGTTTAGGCCCACGAGGTGGGTAATAGGCATAATCCAGTTTATATAAATTGCTTTGAGATGTATCATACCGATTACAAAGGAGGAGCAAGCTAGCTATCTAGCCCACCAACTAGTATTTGCCGAGAACTAATTCAACGACTTGAAATCGACGGCTAGCTAATGACTACCTTCCAGCTATGGTCTTTGCTATGGCTTGTGATTTGATATTTTCCCTTCCTAGGTGCTATTTATTTACTATATGAGTAGGTGACTTCTTGTCCAAGTATAACTCTAGGGGTTAATGTGAGATACGAGCAAATAAGATCTTGCTTTTCTCGGATCTGATATAAAAGGTATACCTAATACGTATAATACAGATAATTTTATTTTGAGAAAACATTATACTAGTAAAAAACAGTTTTTCCATACGGCCAAAATGGTATTTTTTTTTTCATGTGGGTGGCGCACCCACACGCGAAAATCGATTTTCGCGTGCGGGCGCTTAAGCCGTCCACACGCAAAAATAATAAAATCGCAACAAAAAAAAAGAAAATCAAAACCCTAGCCTTGGAACCCTAATCCAGTAGCAGCCGCTGCTGCCATCCTGCCCAAGGCCCGCCGCTGTCGTCCTCGCAGTTCCCGGTGATGGATCCAGCCGCCCGAGCCCTGGGTGGCAGCGGATCCAACGCTGCCGTTGCTGGGAGACCGCCGCCGCCACCGCCACCGCCGTCGTTGTCCCCGTGATCACCGGCAACAGATCCGCCCTCCCCGCGGTTGCCGGGAGACCGCCGCCGCCACCCTCGCCAATGTCGCCGCCACCGCCGCCCTAGTCGATGCTACCGCCGTCGCCGGGAATGGGTAGAGGAGGAGATGAAGTGGGAGGAGTGGGAAGAGAAGAATATATATGTAGGAAAAAGAGAAGTGGGAGAAAAGAAAAAGGAGTGGGGAGAGATGCGCGCTATTTTCACGTGCAGGTCACTTAATAAGCCCGCATGTAAACATACGCTTATTTTTGCATGCGGATTTATTAAGAGGTCCATCTACGAAAATCAATTTACGCGTGCAGCCCATAAACCTATCACAGCGAAACGATTTTTGTAGATGAAAGCACTTATGATCCGTCTCTAATCTAAGGAGGGTCTCGTAAAAAAATCAATTTTGTATTAGTGTTAGAGGCTGACAAGTGGGTTCATTGATTTTTTTTTTGACATTTTGTATTACTAGAAAAAATGCCCGTGCGTTGCAACGGGTAAAGATGTTTTTTCACTGATATATTAAGAGCTAAGCAATAAATTAAAATATTGGGATCGCTATATACATTATAATTGAAAAAGTTGATGAAATTTTTTCTTAGGTTTAGGGTCAATAGCCTTCCTTCCATTTTAGCCTTAGGCCAGTGTCGAAGATAGTCCCATGGCAGTACGGTTGCTAGTCCCGTGGCCGTACGGTTGCCGGAGCAAATCTCCCCATCAAATCTGGTCGAATCTTTCTCGATCACCCAAAATTGGTTGAGGGTTTTTAATCCACATGATCTTCTCTTCCCGTTTTTTCCAAAATCAGAGTGTAAAACTCTTTGTTTCCCCATGAAATCTGGAAATCCAGCCTAATCTTTCTAGATTACCCAAAATTGGTTGAGGTTTTTTGATCCACGGTATCCTCTTTTCATTTTTTTTCTAAAATCAGAGTGTAAAACTCGAGATAAAAACGATCGGGGAAGATCACCGTCATCATCAGCAATTGTTAAAGGAGATTAAATCCAACAAATTAAAACCGAATCGAAAGGAAAAATAATGGAGAAAATGATGAGGGAGGAATGAGGAATCGCAATTGTTAAAGGAGATTAAATCCAACAAATTAAAACCAAATTGAAAGGGAAAATAATGGAGAAAATGATGAGGGAGGAACGAGGAATCGATTTTTGCAATCAAATTGGAGGAGAAAACGGACAATCGATATGGTGGCGGCACGGCGCCAGGGTTCAACTCGGGAGACGGCGAATGGATCGGATTAAAAAACCAGATGAGAAAAACCAAAATCGCATGGGAGAATAAACCGGCACAAAAAATTTGACAAAAAAAAACAAAAGCGCCCGGGAGATGTGATCGGATTAAAAAAACGGACAAAAAACCAAGAGCCTAACTGCGTGGGAAAAAAAAACTCTTTCGCATGAAAAAGTCGGAAAAAGTACCCGTGGCTGACTTTTTACGGAAGTCGGTCTCTAGATGTTTTTTTTCTATTTTTACTGACGAGCGACGACAGAAGCTTTTTTTAATCGCTTTTGAGTCGGACACATTTTTTTTCTTTTTTTACCTCTTTGAGTCGGACTGTTTTTTCTTTTTAACAGACAACGGAAATTTTAGTACAGAACATAAAATTAAAAAATCGACTTAAACACGGATGACGTACTAAAGTACCGGCAAAAACATTTTCAATTTTTATAATAGTAAAGATTTTTATAATAGTAAAGATTAGTACAAGGAAAAAGGTCGCATCTCACTGACAGGTGGGCCCTTGTCCATGTTGATCGATTCAACGGGCCTTTAGAACCCGTCGGGGTGCACTTGTCAGTGACACATACCCTTAAATCAATTGTAATTATAGAAAATTTAATAAGCTGAAGCCACATGTCATTCTCAATATAATAGATGAAGATTAGTTTAGATTAATCAAAACCATTCAGTTAACTAAAGATGGATTACTCCGTATTAATCAACCGGGCCCCATGTGCCACTTCCACACTTTCTTCTTCCTCTCCTCTCTCCTGCAGCACCACGCGCCGCCTGGCTGAATCTTACGGCGGCCGGCGATGGGAGGGCGAGGAGACTCTGGGCTACGTGTTGGGGAGGCGGTGGAAAGCCCGCGGCTGTGCAGAGCGGCTTGGTGTGGCAGAGGGTTGGCTCGGGGTGAATGACAGAATGAGGCGTCGGCGGTGCCCAGGGAGTTTTCCGGAGAGAGACGAGGTGCGCGCGCCGGAGCTCCGCATCGTCGGGGGGTGGGGGGACGTTAGGAAGGGGCTAAGGTGGTCTTGCCACTATGGCCATCTGCGGCGGGGAGGTGGCGCGGGCGGCGGCCGCTGGTCTCCAAAGGAGGAAGGCACCGATGTAGCGTGGGCACAAGTCGCGCGACGTGACTTTGGCATGGCGCTTCGATGGCAGGTCAGGTCGGCTCTGGCGCGGCGAGGCGGTGGGTTGGCTAGTTGAGGCCTCGGTCGGTGGGAGGGGAAGGCTTTGGCGGGGTGGGCTGTGGCAGCTGGGGTGCTCGGTAGGGATACAAGTAGGCTGACCCGCAAACCCATTTAACGTATTGTTCGGTTTGGAGTGGATTGAAAAGGATTGGAGCGGATTGAGGGGGAATAATTTCACATCACAATAGATGGGAATTAACTGAACAAGGCATTATAGATAAAGTTAGCGGATAAACCACTTATTTAATTTATAAGTGGGTTTACGAGTCTACCCACTTACAAAAATCTCCTTAAAAATAATCTGTTCATCTTCAAGCTCCTTAAAAATAATATTTTTATGTATTCCAATGTTTACTGTCTCTCTTGCCCAATATGGGATTGGCAGCAAAAATCAACTTCATGATTAAGCTCGTCGTGACCACAGAAATGCTTTCTTTTGTGTGCAAATACATCCACAGTGTGCAAGGGATGGAAATGCTTTCTTCTATCCAAGCTTTCTTCTATCCAATTCTTCCGAAGTCCCAACCTTGTGGTATGCTAAAGGCTATGACTATTCTTTTCTTTCGTACAGCTCTTCCATTTAGGGCTGAAATAGTAATTGTGCTTTACATGGCCATTTCAGTTATCACATCCCTTTCCTATGTTTTTCTTCTGGTATTCGACTAATTCAAGTTTTGAATTACATGTACAACATGAATTAGAATGATAGGTGAGATTGATCTAGTTCAGTTAATGTTCTGTTGTGCAAATCTTTTTTTTAGATAAAAGGCTTGACGCCCTGCTTTTATAGAAAGCAATAGATTGTTTTTGCTGGGGAGACCAGCTTTACAGGATTCATTCTAGGAACATGATAATAGGCACGCAGGCCAAAGGGAAAGCAAAAACTCAAAGAAGAAAAATCAAACATCCAGGGCTCTCAAAGTTTATGGGCCAAAACAGAACTCTAGAGGACTAACAGCTAAATACTTAAAAGAGAAACAGGAACCACATCACGCTCAACCTATTCCTGCCTGCAGGTGGAATCTTCTAGTTTCCTCAAGCAGTGACGAGGTCACAAACTCCAAGCCTGAGACGTCCTTTGCTCTCACCAGTATCTTCCAGTGCTGCAAAAGGGAAATCACACGATAGATAATCGTGAGCGGTGACCCAATCAATTTATCACGAAAAATCATGTCATTCCTAGTTAGCCAGAGTTGCCAGCTCACAGTTGCCAAAAACATCCAACTCAGAGTATTATGAGAATTGTTATCAGGTTTCAACATTGATGCAAAAAAGTGATCGAAAGAAGAAGGAACAAAGTTCCAGCTGAACGCATCTCTAGCAAAACACCATATAAAAGATGCCATGGGACAAGTAAAAATGACATGTTTGGCATTTTCAGTGACACCACAAAGCTCACAAGCCTCTGAACCTTCCCAGTTTTTCTGTCACAATTATTCAGTGGTTTGGATCCGGTCTTTCATCGCTAGCCAGAGAAAGTGTTTTCGCTTAAGAGGAATCGGTAGTCTCCACAGTATATTCATTTGGGGGTCAAGTACACCTCTAAAAGTTAACAACTGATATAACGATTTCGAGGTATAAACACCATTTTTTCCATGAACCCATTTGAGCACATCATCCTCATCAGTACAAGCAATCTCTTGTATTAGTTCAGATAACTCTCTCCACTCAGTTAGCTCTGCATTACCAAAAAGTCTTCTGAAAGTAAGACATTCTAACCCCTCATGAGCCACCTCTTTCACATTTATTCTTTGTTGGTTGCAAATCTCATAGAGACTCAGGAACCTAATTCTCAGGGGGCAATTACCTATCCAAACGTCATCCCAGAATAAGATATGGTCCCCTTTTCCTAGAACCCATTGTCCCCCAAGAACAAACCACTTTCTGATATTTAGTAAACCTCTCCAGAATTGGGAGATCCCTACCTCTGAACCATAGAAAAAGCCTCTATCTCTCATATACTTGTTTCTTAAAAGATCAAGACACAAACTCTTTTCTTTTGATTCAAGTTTGAAGATCCATTTGGCCAGGAGGGCTATATTGAAAGCTCTAGTTTCAGTGAAGCCCAGGCCACCAAACTCTTTAGGGAAAGCTAAATTCCTCCATCTTTTGCAACTCTCTCTCTTTCCTCCAACTCTAACCCCACAGTAAACACCTCACTTTTGTGGTAATTTATTTTCATCCCAGAAAGCTCTTCAAAACAATAAAGAAGGAACTTTGTTATCACAATCTCTTTGTCAATGAAAGGAATAAAGATCACAGTGTCGTCTGCATACTGCAGGTGTGTTAGTCCTCCAGGGATGAGATGGGGAATGAGCCCAGACAGAAGGTTAGCAGCTTTTGCATTCTCAAAGATCTTCGCAAGTGCATCACTTACTAAATTGAATAGCAGGGGAGAGAGGGGGTCACCCTATCTAAGCCCTCTGTAAGTACTAAAGAATTCACTTCTCTCCCCATTGATATTAACACACACTCTCCCTCCTTGGACACAAGCTTTGATCCAATTAATCCAGGATGGAGGAAATTTTTTCCTATCTAACACCTCAAAAAGGAAATCCCAACTAACTCTATTATAAGCCTTCTCAAAATCAATCTTAAACACCACTCCCTTCAGATTATGTTTATGTAATTCATGAAGAGTTTCATGCAAAGTAATACAACCCTCTAAGATGAATCTACCAGGAATAAAAGCAGTCTGAGTATGAGAAATCTCATTGTTAGCTACAACAGTAAGTCTATTAGTAACTACCTTAGCCAAGAACTTAAAGCAGTCATTTAGAACACAAATAGGCCTGTATTGTTTAATGTTAGCAGCTTCCTTAATTTTGTGGATCAGAGAAATAATGCCATAATTTAGTCTTTTTAGATTTAACTCATTGTTATGTAAAAGGATTAGCATTTCAAAAAGGTCACCTCTTAACTCTTGCCAGAAAGTTTTATAAAATTGTACATGGAAACCATCAGGGCCAGGGGCAGTGTTAAGCTTGGCCTCTTTAATGACGTTATCCAGCTCTTCTAGGGTAAATGGTCTTATGATCCAAGCACTCTCTTCCTCAGTAAGGTGATGTGAGTCAGTCCAGAAATCTTGGCTCAAGTGTGTTTTGGAAGGGGGCTTAGCCCAAAATAACTCTTTGTAAAAAGCAATGATGTGTTCCTTTAACTCCCCTTCTTCAGAGATCAACTCACCCTCATGCTCCAAGCTAAAGATCTATTCTGCAAATTCCTCACCACCTAAAGTAAACTGAGGGTTATAACATTTTGTGAATTTATTCATAGTTTTATAATATTTTGTGTTATTCCAGGTGGATGTGGGGCTTGTGTAATCCTTATAGCCAAGTATAATCCAAAGACAGATGAAGTGACTGAATTCAATGTAAACTCATGCCTAACACTTCTTTACAGTATACATTTCTGTTCAATTATTACCACTGAGGGTCTGGGGAATACCAAAGATGGCTTCCATTCTATACAGAAAAGAATGTCCGGGTTTCATGCCTCCCAGTGTGGTTTTTGCACCCCTGGCATGTGCATGTCTATTTTCTCCTCTCTTGTCAATGCTGACAAATCCAAGAAGCCTGCACCACCAAAAGGGTTCTCAAAGCTATCTATATCAGAAGCAGAAAGGTCTTTCTCGGGTAACATGTGTCGATGCACCGGTTACCGACCGATTGTTGATGCCTGTAAAAGTTTTGAATCGGATGTTGACCTAGAGGATTTGGGCCTTAATATATTCTGGAAAAAGGGTGACAAACACCCAGATCCTACCAAATTGCCAAGCTACACTCTTGGTGGTGGGATCTGTACCTTCCCAGACTTCCTTAAATCTGAGATCAAATCTTCGCTAGACTTCAATGATGCTAGTATTTCAGGCCCCAGGGAGGGATGGTATTGTCCCAAAAGTATCAAACAGTACTATAAGTTAGTAAATTCTGGCTTATTTAGTGAAAGCTCTGTGAAAGTGGTGGTTGGGAACACAAGTACTGGTGTTTATAAGGATCAGGACCTTTATGACAAGTATATTGACATTGCAGGCATTCCAGAACTTTCTGCTATTGTAAGGAAAGATAAGGGCATTGAAATTGGAGCAGCTACGTCAATTTCCAGGACCATTGAGATACTTAACCAAGAAAGTGAATTAACATCCTCTCCAAATGGGAGTGTGGTTTTCAGAAAACTTGCTGAGCACATGAGCAAAGTGGCTTCGCCATTTGTTCGTAACACAGCAAGCATTGGAGGAAACATAATTTTGGCACACAAATACCCTTTTCGCTCAGACATTGCAACCATACTTCTTGGTGCTGCCGCAACTGTCAATCTTCAGGTTTCTTCGAAAACACTACATGTTAATTTGGAGCAGTTCCTTGAGCAACCTCCTCTGGATCACAGTACTTTACTTCTGAGCATATTTATTCCACATTGGGCTTCAGACTGTAAGAAAGAGCATACTTTGGTATTTGAAACTTATAGAGCAGCTCCACGTCCTCTTGGCAATGCTGTTTCATATGTTAATTCTGCTTTCCTAGGACATGTTTCCTTGGATAAATCATCAGGTGACAATATATTGAGTAACCTGCACTTGGCTTTTGGTGCCTATGGAACTAAACATGCTATTAGAGCAAGGAAGGTTGAGGAATACCTGACAGGAAAAATACTTTCTGCATCTGTTGTGCTTGAAGCAATTCGATTGCTGAGAGAAACAATTGTACCGGTGGAAGGAACAACTCATCCTGAATACAGAGTCAGTGTGGCTGTTGGATTTCTCTTCAGTTTCTTATCTCCACTTTGTAAAGGTGTGATAGAGTCTGGAAAAACTCTCAGTATTTCTGAAGATTTGGTAGATACTGATAATGTCCATAACAAGCCATTGTCTTCACGACGAGAAACACTTTCTGATGATGAATATACACCTGTTGGAGATCCAATCAAGAAGTATAAAGTTGAGGTTCAAGCATCCGGTATGTGGTAACGTAATTACGTGGCATCATCACAATTACAAAAATAATCAAGCTGATATTTCCCAATGAATCCTCCTTGGAGAATTACATATATACTCTTCTCTTGTCGAATGCAGGGGAGGCAATATATGTAGATGATATTCCTGCTCCAAAGAATTGCCTATATGGAGAATTTATTTACAGCACACAACCTCTTGCTAATGTGAAGAGTATTAAATTCAAACCTTCTTTGGCATCGAAGAAGATCATTACAGTTGTTTCTGCCAAGGATATTCCAACTGGAGGGCGAAATATTGGATCAACATTCTGGTTTGGGGATGAAGAACCACTATTTGGTGATCCAATTGCTGAGTTTGCTGGACAAGTTCTCGGTGTTGTGGTACTTATCTTCTCATACTTTTAATATTTTATACAAAGTTTCAAGCACTTAACAGAAGACTGTTCTATAATGAGACAATGTTATGAAATTTATTTGTGGGTTTGTTGTTTTTCCATGATCCATATTCACGTAAATAAAACATGTTCTTTAACTCAGATTGCAGAAACACAGCCATATGCTGACATGGCAGCAAAACAGGCAGTTGTTGAATATACCACAGATGGTTTAAAGGCACCAATCTTAACAGTGGAACAAGCTGTGCAAAGCAATAGCTATTTCCAGGTTCCCCCTGAAAGGGCTCCCAAGCAAGTTGGTGATTTTTCCAACGGAATGGCAGAAGCTGATCACAAGATCATGTCGGAAGAAGTATGTTTTTAACATTCTCTGTGATTCCTCAAAGTATCATCTCAGTTGCTTTATTAAAAGACGCAGGAGTTATAAGATACTCTTCTACTTCTACCAATCACCTGCTTAGTTTTGATATTTGTTGGTTGAAACTATGACATTCGTAGTATTCAACAAAGAAAAATTGTTAGACCAGTGAACAAACAGCAACTACAACATTCTCCTTGTGGTTGGAGTTCATGATACTTTTGCTTTTCAGATATAATAACTATATTGTCATAATGATTTTCTTAAGAGATTATGAACTGTTAACTATATACCCATAATAATTCTCATAAAATTTATGAATGTTACCTTGTTTGTACTTAAATTGATCTTGAAACTATTTATAATCGGTACCAGTTAATTTGCAAACTGTAATCGCCATTACATACTTGCAATTGGAATGTTATTACATGTTACAGTTTGTAATTGGAGTGACCAATTTTCCTCAAGCTATAAGTAAGGCTCATCTAAGGCAACATAGTATAACATCTTCTCATGTAATAATGCGTGATATTGATTATTACAGGTCAAACTTTCTTCTCAGTACTACTTCTACATGGAAACACAGACAGCACTAGCAATTCCAGATGAAGATAACACCATGACAGTATACAGTTCATCACAATTCTCTGAACTTGCACAGAATGTCATTTCCAAGTGCCTCGGCATTCCATTCAACAATGTACGTGTCATTACAAGAAGGGCTGGAGGTGGCTTTGGTGGAAAGGTAGTCAGATCACTCCATGTGAGAATCTAATTTATTATCACACTAGTCTTTTTTTTTTATAGAGAAGGGTATTTTTTTACCCAGCCTCTACATCCAACCAGATATATACGGCCATTGAAATAGGGAACTTAGCCTCACAAACAACCCAATCTAAAATTCGCTCCATAGGAGATTTGAACTCAGGACCTTGGGGTACTACTCAGGTCACTGTAACCACTAGGCTACATGCCCTTTTGTATTATCACACTAGTCTAGTAATTGCTATGCCTTACTATGAAGGGAAATCTATACTGTTTTTACATTTTCCATGTGGTTCGCATTCATGAACGCCTAGCACCCCCCAGGCCCCCACCCCGGTGTTGAATTAAGAAACATTAGATTTATACTGTGCTGTGTACAGGTTTGATGACCCTATTTTGCACTGTTATATATATATATATATATATCAAATCTATTCTACACCCCTCCTCTAGAATAACTATTCTACACCCCCTCCCTCCCATGGGCAAACCCACCTCACACACCCTCCCTAGGGCCCAAAACACCTCTCCCACCTCGGTGAAAGCGTCCTCCCGCCGGTCAAACCCGCCCACTAACTCGCCCCCACGCCCACCACTTTGCTGTCCTCGTCTCTCAGAGATTGTGCAGTAACAGGGCGGTTATCGTGCAGTAACAGGACAACTTTCTCGCAGTAACGATATCAAAAAGTAGTCATGATGGATCTAATTTTGTTAAGCACTTTTTTACGAACATCATGGTATAAACGGATTAGAAAAATAATATATGGCATGAGAGATATTGTTCTCTAAAGATTGAGATTTACCTCTTTTCAGTCCTCGTCTCACTGGAACGGCATAGTAACGCGACGGTCAATGTGTAGTAACACAGCTGCTTTTCGCAGTAATGATGTTAAAAAATAGTTATGATGATTCTAGTTTCGTTAAGAATTTCTTTTACGAACGCCATGATGCAAACGGATTAGAAAAATAAGACGTGACATGTACGTTGCTGCTCTCTAAAGGTTGAGATTTAAAATATATTAGCTCTACAAGAACATTACTAATATAGTGCCACCCGTTACTATAGTTTACGATGGTTCTAGTTTCGTTAAGAACTTCTTTTACGAACGCCGTGATGCAAACGGGTTAGAAAAATAAGACATGATATATACATTACTGCTATCTAAAGATTGAGATTTAAAATATTTTAGCTTTACAAAAACATTACTACTATAGCGCCACCCGTTACTATGCATGTTTTCTGTTACTGCAAATTTCGTCATGTTGTTACTGCCAAAACAACAGTAACAACCTATAATTTTTGTAGTAACAACCGACAATTTTTGTAGTAAGGTATCATGTTACTACCCTTCTAGGATATGTTACTGCGAAATCATAGGACCAATGTATGATTAACTGGTTCTCACGCAATTTGAACAGACATACAAAGCATGTAAACAATATTTATTATTTCCATAACATCATACGGTGAATTGGTTAGGATAGCTTGCCATGAACTATGAAATCATGGGTTCAAGTCTTAATTTCATCAATTTATTTTTAATTTTTTTTAAAAAAGAGAAAAGAATGGAGAAAAAAAACGAGAGATGGGAAGGAGAGAGAAAAAACGAAGAGGAGGGCACGGGAGGAGAAAAAAAACGAAAAAAAGGAAAGGAGGGAGAGGGAGAGGGAGGTGGAAAAAACGAAAAAAAAAAGAAAAAAGAGAGGGATCGGGAGGAGGAAAAAACGAAAAAAAATAAAAAAAGAGAGGGATCGGGAGGAGGAAAAAACGAAAAAAAATAAAAAAAGAGAGGGATCGGGAGGAGGAAAAAACGAAAAAAAAGAAAAAAGAAAAGGAGGGAGAGAGGACGAGGAGAGGAATCGGGACTGATTGAGAAAAATAGTGGGGGAGAGAGGGTATCAGGAGGAAGGAGAGAAGAGGGAGGGTAGTTGTTCTTACCATAAAAGTAACTCCATGAAAGAAAAAATAACTGACAATGACAGTGTCACCTGTTGATTCTGACTGATCCATATGCTTTTGTAGATTGCAACAGCAGCTGCACTCTGTGCACACATGCTACGTCGTCCAGTGCGCATGTATCTCAATCGCAATACTGACATGATCATGGTTGGGGGTCGCCACCCGATGAAAGCTCGTTACTCCGTTGGTTTCAAGCCTGATGGGAAAATTACAGCCTTGCACCTGGATTTACTAATAAATGCTGGGATATCTGCTGATGCAAGCCCCATAATCCCTGGCACTATTATATCAGGTCTGAAGAAGTACAACTGGGGTGCTCTTTCATTTGATGTCAAGCTCTGCAAAACAAACAACACATCCAAATCAGTGATGCGAGCTCCTGGAGAAACACAAGGGTCTTTGATTGCTGAAGCCATCATTGAACATGTCGCTGCAGTACTCTCCCTTGACGCCAACACTGTCAGGCAGAAGAATTTCCACTCCTATGATAGCCTTGTTTTGTTCTACCCGGAAAGCGCAGGCGAATCGTCTACGTACACATTACATTCTATTTTTGACAGATTAGCTTCAACTTCTAGCTACCTAAAACGTGCTGAATCCATCAAGAAGTTTAACAGTTGCAATAAGTGGCGAAAGCGGGGCATTTCTTCTGTGCCCCTCATTCTGAAGGTAAGAGTGAGACCAGCACCTGGAAGAGTTTCTGTACTCAGTGATGGCTCCATTGTTATCGAGGTTGGTGGGATCGAACTTGGGCAAGGACTTTGGACAAAAGTACAGCAGATGGCGGTTTATGCTTTGGGACAATTGTGGCCTAACGGGTGTGAAGGTCTTCTTGACAGAATCCGTGTTCTTCAGTCTGATACATTGAACTTAATTCAAGGTGGCGTTACTGCTGGCAGCACTACATCTGAATCTAGTTGTGCAGCAACCCTTCAGGCGTGCAACATGCTGGTTGAGAGATTAAAGCCAGTCTTGGATAGGCTGCAGTTGCAGTCAGGCATAGTATCATGGGATACATTGATTTCGCAGGTGATTCCAGTTTTCTATAATGTCAGTTTATGCACAGTAAAGTAGAATACCCTTTTTTGTTTATGTAATGGAACGGCGTCCCACTAGCAAATTCTGGATTTTTCACATTTTGGTCCTTTTAAAAAACTTATTTCGCAAATAGACCCCTAGAAAAACTTATCCCAGAAATGGTCCTTTTTGGGGCGCCAGAGTGGCTGGCGCCGTCCTCCTGCCACCGTGGCACACGCAAACCGACGTGGCAAGAGGAGGGCGCCAAAATGGTTGGCGCCGCCCTAGGGAGGAGGGCGCCAGCCATTCTGGCGCCGCCCCCCTCCCCCTCCCCCACCACCCCTCGTCTCCATTCCTGTTTCTCTATATTGCAACCTTTTTATTTTTGTTTTATTTTTTTGGATGTTTTTTCGCACTTAGGATACGATACAACCAGCTAAAAAAAAATTAAACTTGAACGGAATATACCACTTAGCTAGATATCCGAAAATAGCATACCGCTTAGCCTATTTTGCACCTTCATCGGAATTAGACCATAACTTCTTTAGTAAATACCTTTGATCAGCATGTTAAATATAATGCACTCTACCACTATATGAAATTACTTAATCTCTAATTCAAAATATAACCACATGAAATGATAGCCATAAGTTAAATAGTACAGAGAGATGCAGTTTTTTTTATTTTATTTTATTTTTTTGATATTTTTTTCACACTTAGGAGAATACAGGAACCAACCATAGAAAAAATAAACTCGAAACGGACAAAATATGTGACTTATAGAATTTTCCAAAGCTCTACCGAAACGGACAAAATATGTCATTTATTAAAATAGGCGTAACTTTCTCATACAGACTCGGAATCAGGCAAATAATATATCCACGGATATCTGCAAAAAAAGTTACATCCGATTCTTCCTGCTTTGCCGGATTCGGCGATATTAGAACCTCCAAATTCCGCTTGCAAGATTGTGTTTTCGAGGAGAGAAGTTTTTCGGTAGAGCTTTGGAAAATTTCACAGGCCACATATTTCGTCCGTTTGAGTTTATTTTTTATATGGTTAGTTCTTGTGAGTTCCTAAGTGTGAAAAAAATATCAAAAAATAAAATAAAAATAAAAAAGTTGCACATCTCTCTCCTCTGCACTAGTTCGGAGAGAGAGGAGAGGAGAGGAAAAATTCTATAGGTCACATATTACGTCCATTTGAGTTCATTTTTTCTATGGTTGATTCTTGTGTGTCTCTAAGCGTGAAAAAAATATCAAACAAATAAAAAAAAAATAAAAAATTACTGGGGGGAGGGGCGCCAGCCACTCTGGCGCGCTCCCCCTAGCCACCTCAGCATCGCCCCGCCACGTCGGCAGGGGGACGGAGCCAGAGAGGCTGGCGCCGTCTAGTTGGACAACGGCGCCAGCCACTCTGGCGCCCCAAAAAGGACCATTTTTGGGATAAGTTTTTTCAGGGGTCTATTTGCGAAATAAGTTTTTCAAAAGGACCAAAATGTGAAAAATCCAGCTAGCAAATTCACCATTTTAGTATTTTACCATGTTTTAAGAACTCCAAATAAAAAAAAATGATTGCAGTACAGAGTTGTGAATTCCTGCTAACAATTCAAATGCAAATCCATTCCCAGACCAAGAAAAGAGGAAAGGAGACCTACTCATCGTCTGCTAGCAGTATCGCTGGTCATTGTCCTACTCCTATCATGATACCGGAGAAAAAAAAATAAATTGATTTTCTGTGGATTTAGATAACTGTTTGTTTGCTACATTTATGATTATTTTAGAATTTTCAAAATCATGGAATATAATGTTGTCTCTCCGTCCCAAAATAAGTACAGTTTTGTACTGTTCATATCCGACGTTTGACCGTTCATCTTATTTGAAAATTTTTTATGATTAATATTTTTATTATTATTATAAGATAAAACATGAATAGTATTTTATGTATGACTAATTTTTTTTATTTTTTTCATAAATTTTTCAAATAAGACGGACGGTCAAACGTTGGACACAGATACCCATGATTGCACTTATTTTGTGACGGGTGTAGTATTTTCATAATAGAAAAGCCGGTTCCCCTAGGCTACACTTGGCCGTTAGGTAATTACAACTTCATACGCAGGCCTCTCAGGAAAATGTTAATTTGTCAGCAAGTGCATACTGGGTGCCTGACCAAGACTCGAAGTTTTACTTGAACTATGGAGCTGGTACAAGTGAGGTGCGTAGTTCTGTTATGGTAGAATTTTCTATACCATTCTATGTTGAAAATTTCCTGGAATGCAGGTTGAGATTGATCTTCTTACTTGAGCAATTACCATACTAAGGAGTGATCTTATTTATGACTCTGGCAAAAGTTTGAATCCTGCTGTAGACTTGGGCCAGGTTTGATATATTTTGCATTCAAATCTTCTTCCATGTATCTGAGTATAAACAGATGAGTTTTGGTCGTCACACAAGTGTGTATCAAGTATCAGATGGATCTGCTCCCTTTTTTTATGTAATTGTTTGTTCGACTCTGTGATGACAAATAGACAACACATTTCTCTCATAAAGCTTTCACTGGCATATAAAATAACGAGCAGACATAATTAGACATACTTGCCCCACCGGAATGAAAAAAAAAATTAACCGCCTCTAGAAGGGGCTCGAAAAACAGGTTAAATTACATAATTCAAGTTCTGAAGGGATTGTGAGAAAATTAAATGCATGTCGAACGTCATATATGATCTGTACTCTCTTATCATGCAGATTGAAGGTTCCTTTATACAAGGAATTGGTTTCTTCATCTATGAAGAACACCAAACAAACAGTGATGGCTTGGTTATTAGCAACAGCACCTGGGACTACAAGATCCCAAGTGTGGACACCATCCCGAAGCAATTCAACTTAGAGGTGCTCAACACTGGATACCATAGAACCGTGTGCTTTCTTCAAAAGGTAATTAACAGTCTGGTCTCGTCAATTCAATATGATTCTTTTGCAGCTTGAATTTAACATTGACTTTAAGTAATTTACCTATTGATTTTCCTAGCTTCTGGGGAACCTGCCGTGGTTCTTGGAGCATCTGTGCATTGTGCGGTGAGAGAAGCAATCCAAGCAGCGAGGATAGAGTTTGCAGGTGGCAGCGAATCTACCTGCAAATTTCAGCTTGATGTCCCTGCTCCAATGACGCTGGTGAAGGAACTGTGCGGCTTGGATATTGTGGAGAAGTACTTGGAAGATCTATCTAGCCATGGAGTTGGAAATTGCAACTAGAGCATTATCTGCAATTCTGAAATTCAGTAACATTCAGTTATTGAAAGGAGTGGTATGATCCATTCGGTGGGGCTTGATAAAACAGTGAAATTCAAATGTTTGCGATATTCAGTGTTTTTCTTCAACCATTTTATCGACAATTTGATGGTACTGAACCACCGATATTTTTTATGTTTATTAAAACATGACAACTGTTGATGATATAGGAGTTTTTCCTTGTTTTGAAGGTATGGTCAATCGAAACATATGTGCCAAAAATCATGGATTATGTATGTACTGTATATAAGCTAAACAAAAATAAAGTGCACAATGGTCTATATTGTGTGTCTACATAGTTTGTATATGTATGCAAGATCACTTATGATGGCTGGAGTCATATAGGAAAACACAGTATAGACGAATAGGTAAACAAGAAAGCTTATACCTTGCATTCTGATCAATGGTTTTATCTTCTTGACAAAGTATAAAAAAGGAATCGTTATTAGTACATAAAACAAACGTGTGTTTACATTGTCGACATAAGATAAGAGCATTTGAGGTGACTATAATCACCATCAAACACTTAAAAAAGAGAAAATCCCTTGTATGTTACTGAAATTTGATTTTGATCCTTCCATACCTCTCCCGTCAATTGATAGTCTAATTTCTATAAAAATAACCATTTTACCCTTTGGATGAACATAGTTACGAGTTTGTTGTGCGATACATTATTTATGAAAAAAATTAATTTTAGATAATAAAATAAAAAATTTGTATGATATTATTTTAAAAAAGTTATAAAAAATGAGGAGCATTCATAAAAGAGACTAACAATGCTCGTGATATTTTTTTTTATAAATACTCCCGATAAAAAAAATCTATTGTCCTATGAAAATGTTAAAGAAAAAAAATTAATTTATTACATTTGTTTTATTTTCAAAATTTATGTCAAAATTTTCTGCACTAATTATTAAGTCTCATTAGTTTCATAAAATGCACATATTGTGCACTCAAACAAAATTTTCATTCGTTTTTCAAGCTTATATTCAAATCTAAATCATCAAGGGCATAAAATACATTTGCAACCAAACATAATAGTGAAATGAAGGAAAATGTAACGGCAGGGGTATGAAAGGGATCAAGTTAAAATTTTAGGGATATACAAGGGATTGAGTAAATTTCAGGGGAATGAAAAGGATTGGGCAAGTTTTCAAGGGTATATAGGGAATTTACTCTTAACAAAACCAAGAAAAATAACCTTGTTCTAGCTAAATATTGGAGGAAGGGATGTGAAACTTAATAAAAATAGAATGAGAATATACTAAAACATATTAGAAGTTTAGAATGTATTTCATTGGATTGAATTGAAAGCTAAAAATTTTAGAGTCCTTAATTTTTGGGAGCCCTGCGCGGTGCCTATGTACAGGCTTTGTCTATTTTGCCTATGTACAGGCCTTGTTTATTTTGCAGTATCTATTTGCAGGCCTTCTCAGCGATATCGCTAAACTCTAGTGGCGCGGAGCTGGCTGGTCTGATTGCTGATAGAGTCACTTGCGGATGAACGACATGGGGTTGGCTTTACCTCACTAGTGACTCCAGATATGAAAGTGGTCGGTAGATCAGAACCAGTCCTATACTACCCTGTTTTCACATAAAAGAGAAAATAATAAGGTTTACCTACAAAGGACAGTGACTATACAGAGATAAATATAAAATTATTAGCAAGTAGTAAACTCTTAAATCATTAATCTTCCCCGGCAAACGGCTCCAGAAATGCTTGTTGATATTTCTTAGTGATATTACTAGAAATATAATTCCCAGCAATGACGTAAAAATATTCATGGTTTATTTATGGTCATAGATATGATCCGCAAGCGCACGGATATATCATTGTAGCATTTCACCCGGGAGTATTCCAAGGTATCGTATTTATTTAATACCAAGGGAGGATATGATAAGAGAGTACTATGCTAATAGTTTATATATTACTTCTATACATTAAAGTCTATGTAGAGGTTAAATGATTCAAAGGGTAGGTGACATTCAGAAGAAAGAAAGTAAGATACTCTCACTAAAATAAATACTAAGCTAAGTGGAGAAAGAATAAGAAAAGAATTCATTCCTATACCTCTAGTATACATACACATTTAGTCTACACTTGCTAGTATACAGTCATGCAACCAATACTCCCTAATAGTGTCCTCCTGGTGTTTCAAGAGACCACCCCTGATTACCGAGTTACTTACGATAACCTGTCATGGCCATATATAGAAGAGTACCCTCCCCAGGAAATTGCACTTAGGATTATATACACGTGTGGAGGAATACCCATACTGAGCTGTCACCATCAGCGGCCCACCTTGACGTATCCGCAGCATATAACCCCAATTAATGATACTTAATAATCTAGACACCACATCTACATTATTAAATACTACTCTACATCCATGCATCCGACATAGAGTAACCGAATACTCGGACATTAAACCCACACCATTAGACCTCTCTGGTAAGCTAGTTATACAACTATATTGGCACAAGTATAAAGTAAAGTCGGTACTTAGATAATATAAATGGAATAAAATACCGAAGATGTATAAAGAAGAATATTCTATTAATTCAATAAGTTTTACAAAAGAAGAGAGGAAAGCTACTAGAGCCATACCCAAATTCTCCTAAAGACCCGAGGACTAAGAATACTATTCTAATTCCTACTCCACTAGCACTAGTGTACAACTAAACTTGAGAGAGGGAGAGAGCTCTTCTTCTTAAGTGTGTGCTTGGAATGAAGGAAGTGAAGGGGTATTTATAGGTGGAGATGACTTGAGAGGGTGGAGATCCTCCATGGCATCCAAGGAGCATCTTTCTTCTCCTCATGCCATCTGTCCTCCTGAAGTCGGTAATAGTGCGGGAACCGGTCATAACGACCTTGGGTAGTCGGTAAGTAACTGTCTGTGAAAGATGAGGCCAATTGGGCCAGTTTGTGGGTCAGCCGAACCAAGGGGTCGGCCGACCCCTTGCTGGCTCTTCTGGCCCTCAATTTTCTCCAGTAGACTACTATGTGGGCCTCTAAATCAGTGATATACATTTTGGGCCCATTTGTGATTGTTAAATTGGACTTTTGGGCCTTCTCATGCAATTGCAGGTCACCGACAGACTTTCGACTGATTGATCGATATATTTCCACCTTCTTCTCTTCATTTATGAGTGCTTCTCTTGCATACATGTTAGTAGCATAGCATATAGTGGAAGTAGTTATTTTATTTGTAAATTATGCATTGCAAGCATAGCTAGTCTTCATACATTGGGTAATATTGACGGTCAAAACTAGTCGATAACGATGGTCAACAGTGCATCAAACAATAATTTTGCCAAATATAGAACAAAAGAATGTATCATGATAAGAAACACACGTTAGATGTGTTAGCATGTTGTTTGTAAACAAATATGCATATGAAAATCTTTGCAACATATAAGATTTTTCATGCATAGGTAAAAGTCACTGAAAAATATTATTTGTGATCAAGGAATTTGATTACAAAGAGAAAAGAAAGCTTTCTTTGCCCAGTTTTAAATTATACTATCAAAACATGTATAGTTGGGAGGGAGCGTATTGTTGTATCCTGTGCACACAGGGAACAATATCATGTGCACACCAACTAACAAATTTTCTAAAAAAATATAGAAAAAAATGTACATATAGTTTCAACATCATTACACTAATTTGTAAAGTCTTCAGCTCAAATTTATTATATTTTGGCCGTAACAAAAAAAATATAAAATTCCAGACAGCTTTAAGAGTATCAAAATTTTGTTTCTTTTTTTCTTCCTATATGTAACGAATTTTGAGATAGGACTTTACATATAAATATAAATGTAATACTACTTAAAAATAAATTAAAAATACATGTACATATTTTTTTAGTCTTTTTTTTTAAAGTTGATGTGCACAGTTTGTATATAAGAAGGCTTGTGTGCATGGTAACGTATCCTATGCACACAAGACTTTTAGTTCGAAAGCATCCAATATATGGTGCTACATTCATCTACTCCCTCCATCACTAAATATTTCACGCCGTTGACTTTTTTAAACATGTTTAACCGTTTGTCTTGTTCAAAAATTTAAGTAATTATTAATTCTTTTCATATCATTTGATTAATTGTTAAATATACTACTACTACTCAAGTTTCTGAATAATGTTCACAAAATTTTTTGAATAAAACGAACGGTCAAACATGTTTCAAAAAGTCAACGACATCAAATATTTTTAGGGATGGATGGAGTATATATAAATATATTCGGGAAAAATAAAACCATTGTATCCAGGTAGGGCATTGGATCCGCCGTTTTCTGGAGCATGTGTGTGTGGGGTGAAATAAAGCAGAAGTTCAATGATTGTCGCTAAAAGTAAAAGAAAGTCAGTGACTACTTCCTCACAAATATTTTAAACCAGATTATTTCACCTCAAACTGCTGAAAGTATCATTTGTTCATCTATGATTACAGTACAACTTCTTAAAATCTGGATAAAAAAACTAAACTGTTTAAAAGAGCTTTATTGCCAGAATTAACAAGAACTTCCTTAAATAGATCCATATATAGGTTGTGTTTAGTTTTTGAAATTGGGGAGAAGTTTGGGGAAAGTTGATAGTTTGGAAAAAAAGTTTGGAGTTTATGTGTGTAGGAAAGTTTTAGATGTGATGTGATATGATAGAAAGTTGGGAGTTGGGAGGAAGTTTGGTATGAACTAATCAGGACCATACACATACATGTAGGATTCTCCTAGGTTGTTTTATGCTTAGTTTTTTAGTACTCCTATGCCTGTTAATAGGACATCCGGCCCATGAGCTATGTGGGTCAAAAGTACGACAAGCGATATCTATCTATCTATCTATTATATACTAAAAGTCCATAAAACTTGCTACAAACAGTCTCAAGCCGTCACGTGGCGCTCTAACAAAATAGAGAAAATCCTAGATGTTCTAAGAAAAAAGCAAAACATCTATCCCTTAATTTTCACGTAAATTGGTGTGTCCAATATTATACACCGTTAGATAAAATTGATCTTAAAACAAACTAAATACCATGGGTCCCACCTATCCTCCTCCTGTGCATTGGCAGGTGGAGTATATACGTACGTAGGTACACTACGCTAGTTCACGTCATCTCTGACGGGCCCATACTCTTACCTGTGACGGATAAAGCGTGTGGTCACAGACCAATGGTCACTGATGACATAAGTCACCTGTGACGGGTAAAGACCCGTCAAAGGTAAAAGTCACCTTTGACGGAGTTCAACTAAAATCCGTCACTGGTGACCTTCACCTGTGACGGGTAAACATATTAACTCG